CTCTCCTGGCCCGGCTGCCTGCTCCCGTCCGCCTCGCGCTTTCTCTCCGCCGTCCCCCTCCACACCCGCTAGCCGTGGGACCCGGCTTCTTCCCGGGACGCCCTGGTCCCCTCCACGGCACCCGCGGGGGGGACCCCTCGGGGTCTCCTGGCATGCCACCCCCCGAACGGACCCCCATCCCCGCACGTCAGCCTCTCCCCCTTGGCCTCTGCTTCTCCCTCGCAGCCTCCTCCATCCATCCCGACCCCGTCCCTCCTCCCTCTTCCCATCCTCCTTCCCCCTCACTGGCCGGCACCCTCCCCCAGCGCCCCTTCCCCCAACTCACTGGGCCTCGCCGCTCGGCCTCTGTCGCAACAGAGCTGCTCCTGGGGCTCCTCCGCGTGCGGCCGGCTCGCCAGCCAATCAGCGGCCCGCGCGGCTCTCGGCGCGCCGCCGCTCGGACTCCTGGGAAGTGTTGTCCTGGAGTCGCAGCCGCGGAGGCTGAGAACGCTCCCGGAGAACTACTGCGTATCCCAGGGGCCTCCCGGGGCGTGACGTCATCACGATGCGCGGGGCCGGCGTGCGGATTAGAGTCCCAGAGCCCTCTGCCAGCCGGAGTGCGCTGGCCGCCGGAAACTGCGAATCCCTGCTCGCTCCTCGGATGAGCGGGCTGGCTCTTGCAGGCTGCACCCAACTCGAAAAATCTGTACCGTGGAGATACCGAGTGTACGGGGCGTCCCTGCCGGCTTGGGCAGCGGGGCGAGCCACTACACTTCCCAGATGGCATCGGGCAGGACTGGGTCGAAAGAATGCGCGGAGAAGAGGAGGGAGGTGGAGGGAGAACGAGGAAGGGAGAAGCGGTTGCGAAGAACAGAAAGAATTCCTGCGTGCACGAAAGGCGACCTCGTTTCTTGAAACCGAGTTGACCAAACTTTTATAGAGAAGGGGGCGATCACTGTTCCCAAACCTTGCCCGCTTGGCCTACCCGCTCCAGAAATGTTAGGTTTCCATCGGAACTACGTTACGTTTGATGGGAAGAGCCCTGAAGTGAAAAACAAGACCCCTTTTTCTGAGTGTACCTTTATCATCAGCCGTGTGACCTTGCCCGTTACTTTTCCTTTGCGCCTTACTGTTAAAATTTCTCACAGATTCCTCATCGCCTACGTTATAAATCCCAAATTTGTAGCCTCAAATGCCAGGCAGGCTTTTTGTGATCCTTGCTAACTCCTCCTGGCTCCTGACCGCCAGTGACTCACCATCAGTGACACAGCCGGAGGGAAGCAAGGGAGCTGATACTCCCCCTGAAGCTTAAAAAAAGAACAGCCCCCACCCATAGAACCAGCTTTCCTCCTCAAACTAGATGCTCAAATAGAACCTCACTACTTGCATTTCAGATAATCCACTTATTTCACACTTTCATGCCTTCGACCATATCTTTCTTTTTCTAGAAAACCCTCCACCAATTAAGTGCCCATTGTATGTCAGGCTCAGCTGCTGGAGTTACAGTGGTTACCAGTCATTCCCTAACTTCCCTAACCTCAGGGCACTCACAATGAAGAAGGAACATTTAGCCCGGGCTGGTGTGGCTCAGTGGGTTGAGTGCCGGTCTGCGAACTGAAAGGTCACTGGTTCAATTCCCAGTTAAGGCATATGCCTGGGTTGTGGGCCAGGCCCCCAGTTGGGGGTGTGCAAGAGGCAACCAATGGATGTATCTCTCACATGTGGGATGTTTCTCTCCCTCTCTTTCTCCCTCTTTCCCCTCTCTCTAAAAATAAACAAATAAAATCTTTAAATAAAAAAAAAGGAACATTTAGCCCTGGCTGGTGTTTCTCTTCCCCCTCTCTCTAAAAATAAATAATTTTTTTTAAAAGAAGGAACATTTAAAAAGTAAACCATGGCATTTATGTGGCTTAAAATGCTTTAAAATGTGCTGCTGAGGTTTGTAGGTGGAGCCCTCACTTGACATATAACCAAGAGCATGAATTCTGGGAGCAAACTGTCTGCATTCAAACCCCAGTGCTACCATTTCAGTGTGTGACCTTGGGCAAAATAATGATGATAGTGCTTACCTCATATGGTTGTTAGAGTTTGGTTCTTGCTAATGGCTAATTATCACTTAGCCAGAGTTCTGCTAGGCCTCCTTCTTGACTTTTCTGCTACTAGCAGAATCCTAGCCTAAGTATGCATTAGACATTTATTTAATTCAGTGCATTTAACAAACAGTAGGCATCTACTTTGGCCGGAAGCATTGTTTTAAGTAAAGAATATAGACAAGAGTTGATTGCAAAGCTTTTCTTTATGAAGCAAAGAAGTTGGATCACATAAAATCACTGTTCCAAGCCCCTAACCTCCTGCGACCACTGTCTACAATATGCCTCCCTCTCCCAGTTCCATTAAAATGCATTGTTACAGGTAGGTTACAGGTTGTACAGAGAACTAACATTTATTCTCTTTCATTTATGCAATTCCATTTCATCCCCCCGCCCCCCCCCCCACACACAACAAACCCTGAGGTAGGTATTATTACCATTTTTATAGAGTGGGAGCAAAGGCACAGAGCTGTTAATAAAACAACACTGCAGGGAAGAGACAGTGGCAAGATTTGAGGCTGGAATTTTCTGGTTCTAGAATGCCAGCTCTGTAAAATGGCTCAGGATGGCAAGAGAAAGACTGTATCCAGTTAAGAAGTCATCTGCACAGCAACCAATCATGTCCAGGATTTCCCATGAATCAACAGTTGCTGGGCAGTCTTCCCTCAGCCCAGCAAGAGTGGCTTAGAAACCTTGTTGGCCACTTAGACGTTCTGCTGTTCCCACCCAGGGTTCAGCTACCTTGCAGGGAACAGATCTGGGGATAATGGGAGAAGAATGGGGAAATGGGAAGGAAAGAGATGTGGGTAGAATACAGAAGGACTGGCTAAAGGTGAAAAATCACGGAAGGTCGGTGCTGGAAGTGAGAACATCTGGTCTGGACGCTTCATTGAAATAGGAAGACACTGAGACCCAAGGAAGGAAGTGTCTGATCCAGCGTTACCTGGAAACTCAGCAAGTGACTAGGGTCTGGAACTGTGCTGTACCATGTGGTAGCCTCCAGCCACATGTGGCTATGGAGCACTGGAAATGGGACTAGTCCAAACTGAGATACGCTAAAAGTGTCAAATACACACAGAATTTCAAAGATTGCACGTTGGGGGGAGCATGTAAAATACCTCAAGTTTTTAATATTGATTACATGTTGAAATAATATTTTGGATATATTGATACGATAATAAAACATACTAGAAAATTCAAATTTACATATATGGCTCACATTATATTTCTATTGGACAATGCTGATCTGGAAACTATTACCTTCCAGTCTCGAAGTGAGTGTCCCTACTCTGCCCCCCAGACTCTCTTCTAACAAGTCATTCATTTGCCATCTTTTACCTGCCAGTGGCTGAGGGGAGGTCAAACTGTGGTCTAACCAAGGGCAAGACCAAAACACAGCAAAGGATAACAGTGCTGGTGAGTTCTGTCTTACCCACTTCCTAGAATGATGGTTCTTTACCAGCTCTTGGGGTTCCCTTTTAATAGCAAGTATTTTTTAGGACACCCCCTTTACTGTTCTAAGATAAAGCTCATAGATGATAAAACCCAACTGCACACATAAATTTCAAAAAAATAATAGTGTCTTAACCGTAACAGAAGAAAGAAAGGAAAATCCTTTCTAATAAAGTGCTGTTGTTTCGGGATGCGAGAACATGAAATACCTCTCTAAGTGGGATCACCTCGACGATGACAGTACAAACGCAGACAGAGCACGGTGAATGACATCGCCATGCCAGATGGTCACTCTTAGTGAACTCCTGAACAAAACAAAGTGCAGCCTTTCTTCCATTTACCTGATCGTTACATTCCCGGAAAACTCAGCACATATTATCACCTGGCAAAATTACTTCCAACTTTATATAGAAAACACAGGCTCAAGGGTCAATGATTACCACCGGCTGCTGGTTTTGTTTGCTTTCCACTTACCTGAATGTTCAGTAGGACATTTCAAAGCCCCATGGGACAGACAATTCTTTTCTGTGTGATACTAACTTACAATGTACAAGACATCTAGCACTGTTGGCCCTTCCCCTCCACCTTTCGGCAACAAAATTGCCCTGTACATTTCCAAATCACCCCCTAGGGGTGGGCCACACCCGTGGAAAACCCGCGGTGGTTGTTAAAAGGCCCCGCCCGATCCCAGCCTCGCCTGAGCTGTTTCCCTCTCCCAGCAGGCCTTAGCCGCCCTGGACTTCCCAGCTCTTCTCTAAGCCAATCCTTCCTCTTTCTGAGCCTCCGGGGCTTTGCTCTTTACCTGGAAAACTCACTCTTTATTTGGGTAACGCACTGAAGCTTTGGACGTCTGCATTTCCAACTTCCCAGCCTAATTCCTCACCCTGGATTCCACGTTTCGGCACTGGCACTTAGGACAGTCTGAGATTTCCACCCGAGTTCGTATTTTGCTAGTCAGTGGCAGCTTAAACTCTCAGCTCCCAGAGGGCGGGGACCACGCCCACCTGGTTCACTCGGATTTACTCGGTCAGGATCCCTCCTGCGGGCCTGGAACTTAGTAGGCAAACAACAAACAGTTGTGAATAACTGAGCGAAAGATGGGGTTCCCCAAGAAGTCCAGAAGGCCGAAGCGTGATCATGGAGGCGGAAGGTGTTCCCCCCACACCCTAGGGCAGATGGGAGTTGAGGTGGAAGATTCGGGGCACCTTAGGGTCCACTGGCACTAGCGTCCGGGGAAGGCACGCTCGCTCTCGGGGGGCGGGGACCGCCCGGCGCACGGCGCCACCCGGCGGCTGGCGGTTTCAGCCGCGAAGGGGCGGGGCGACCATAGAGAGCGCGCCGCGGAGCGAGTGGCCGGATGCGGTCACCATAGAGACGGGGACTGACAGCGAGCGGAAGAGGAAGGAGGGGGCGGGGCTGTGAGGTGGCAGCGGCTGCAGCGGCGGAACCGGCGCCTCGGCTGGGCACTGGGGGTCTGTTCCTCTTTCCCCACCCTCCCCACCCCCACAAGGACGACAGGGGCGCCGCTCCCCACGACAGGCGCAGGTCCCACCCCCACGCCCTCGCCCCCCTGCTCCCCGGGACGGCGCTGGTCGCGGCGATCACATCCTTTGTCCGATCGCCCCTGGTCCTGCCGCAGGGGCCTCCCCACCGCGGGCTTCGGGCTTTCCCTTGTGGCCTGTCGCCCGCGGGCGCAGGCAGGGCTGTTGCCCCTGCCGAAGGGCCTGGGCTCGGGGTCTTGACACTCCCCTCCCAGTCCCACTGTCCGAACAAGCGGAACTGAGTCTGCAGCCCCTCGGCAGCTCCGTGACGCAGCCAGTTTTATTTTTGTTTTGAGACTACCGGCTAAAAGTCGCTTTGAGCCTTCTTTCCAGGACTGGAAGTGGTCTGTGATCGCTGAGAGACAGAGCAAGGGCGCTGGGCCTGGCACGGCCACGGCCGCAGCCAGCCGAGGCTCGGTGTGCCTTTCCGGGATCCCTGCGCTGCCTTCCGCTGCTTCTCGTCGTCTCGGTTTGGTTTGGTCGGGGTGCCCGGGGCCCTGGTAAAGCCAGACACCGAATGGCTCTTCCATAGCCGGAGTTACTGTGATTTGCCTCCTGTCCCCCGTGAGAGGGAGGCGGGCAGCCCGGGGCTCTCAGCATCTGGGATTGGGAGAAGCATGTGCTGCTGGAAGGCTCCATCAGCTGCCGTGCGCCCCTGAGCGGCTCTCCCGGCCGGTGCCCTCATCTGCTCCCCTCCTTTGGTGGCCAGGACGTCTGCGGGCCATGCCAGTGGCTCCTGACCACTCCTGACTGGGAGGAGGGGCCCCTCCAGCCCTGTGTTTCCTCAACACGGGGGAGTGGAGTAGAAGGAGGCCCCGATCCAGCACCCCTTCAGTGAACTGAGTGAGAAATGTGCCCCCAGCCTGGCGCTCTTCGGGCAAGGCCTGCTGAGGAGGCTCCTCTAGCAGGGGCCCCGGTTCTGACGAGTCACGGGCTTTTCCTCTCTTCATCAGTGGTTGCTGGCGCTTGACTTAGTCTGCAGAAGTGTGTAGTCCTCCTTTTCCAGTCAGACTTTGCAGGGTTGAACTTCATTTCCTCCTCTTTCCACTGGAAGACGGGCCATAAGCCATTAATGAGTGAAATTGATTCTAATATTACCATTTGGACCGAGGGTTAGATCTGGCACTTGGGTGACGGAAGATCAGGCAGTCAGGATTGTGAAGACCGGCCAGTCCAGCTTCCTGGGGATGCTGGGCCTGGACGTGAACACGCCTCACTCCGTGGCCAACCTCACTGGCCGCAGGTGTCCTGGTTAAAGCTGCAGGCCCACTCCTGGCCTGGCGCCCATCAGCCCACGGATCGGTCCTCAAGGCTGTGCCCTCCAGGGCGCGCACACGGCAGGGCCCGCCACCATGCGCCTGAGCTCCCTGTTGGCCCTGCTGCGCCCAGCACTGCCCCTCATCCTGGGGCTGTCCCTGGGGTGCAGCCTGAGCCTCTTGCGGGTTTCCTGGATCCAAGGCGAGGGAGAAGACCCCTGTGTAGAGGCTGTGGGGGAACCCGGAGGGCCGCAGAATCCCGACTCCAGAACTCGGCTGGACCAGAGCGATGAAGACTTCAAGCCCCGCATTGTCCCCTACTACAGGGACCCCAACAAGCCTTACAAGAAGGTGCTCAGGTGAGAGCTGCGTGCCCCCCGACCCCAGTGTAGGGCTGCTCCAAGCCCTGGCCTTGGCTGCCTTCGCTGAGAATCCGTGTTAGGCTGCTTGCAGTAATTCATACCATCATGGTTTGTGCCTATTTTTTCCCTCCTCCTCAGTCTAAGCAAGTCTCACCCATTGGTGTTCCATTAGTGTTGGATGTCTTAAATAGGGTAGGAATTGCATGGACTTCATGTAATCTGTCATTAGCGGACCCCTCACCAAATCGATTCTCGTGTCTGCCGTTCAGAGCACGCTTTCCCCAGGCGCTAACTGGTATTGATGAGGTCTCTTGCTCCTCTTTGCTCCCCTCCAACTCACTGGGTCCTGGGGGATGTCCATGCCGCACAAGCTGGGTTCCTAGAAATGAGGGAGCTGGCCCCTGATGGGTTGGTGTCTCCACAGGACCCGATACATCCAGACAGAGCTGGGCTCTCGGGAGCGGTTGCTGGTGGCAGTCCTGACTTCCCGGGCCACGCTGTCCACTTTGGCCGTGGCCGTGAACCGCACGGTGGCCCACCACTTCCCTCGGTTGCTCTACTTCACTGGGCAGCGAGGGACCCGGGCTCCAGCGGGGATGCAGGTGGTATCACACGGGGACGAGCGCCCGGCCTGGCTCATGTCCGAGACCCTGCGCCACCTTCACACGCACTTCGGGGCCGACTACGACTGGTTCTTCATCATGCAGGACGACACGTACGTGCAGGCCCCCCGCCTGGCAGCCCTCGCCGGCCACCTCAGCATCAACCAGGACCTGTACCTGGGCCGGGCAGAGGAGTTCATTGGCGCCGGCGAGCAGGCCCGCTACTGCCACGGCGGCTTTGGCTACCTGTTGTCGCGGAGCCTCCTGCTTCGGCTGCGGCCACATCTGGACGGCTGCCGGGGGGACATCCTCAGCGCCCGTCCCGACGAGTGGCTCGGCCGCTGCCTCATCGACTCCCTGGGTGTCGGCTGTGTCTCGCAGCACCAGGTGACAGCCCTTTCACGTCAGCCCCGGTCCCTGACAACTGGGTAGTGCCTGAGGGGTTGGTCTGAGGGCTGGGCGCTGCCGGCTCCCTCCCTGCAGCCCCTGGGGCCGCCGTTTGGTCCTTCACGGACGCTGAGTGCCCCTCGGGCTGCCGCTGCTCACCTCGGGCAGCCTTCGACCCCAGGGGGCTGTCAAGAGTGGCATGTTGTCAGTGACCCTGACCATGGCAGAAAGGCGTCTTCTGTTCATCAGGCCTCCCCCCATCTGCCCCCTCCCCTGCCACACGCACAGTTTTGAGCCTCCTGGGAATGTTCTAGAGGGCCATTCTCCTGCAGAGCTGCCCCGAGAGCTAGCTGCCCCTAGAGGGACCGGAAAAGGAGACAGATTCTTAAGAGTACTGGGTGGCTCGTAGCTGTGGCTTTCTGGGGAAGAGAGCACCCTTAGTTGCCTACTGAACATTCTTTTTTCCAAAATGTGGTGGTGAGGGTAAGGCCAAGGTTCAGGGGACACTGGACGGGGCTCCTGCTCCCCTGTCCCTTGATAGTGGTGGCAGTGGTCGGGGGGACATTGTTTTGGTTGGTGTGGCTGGGACAGGGGGCCCTCTGTGCGCCGCACTGATCAGGCTGATTGGTCCCTCCAGGGGCAGCAGTACCGCTCGTTTGAACTGGCCAAAAACAGAGACCCCGAGAAGGAGGGGAGCCCGGCTTTCCTGAGCGCCTTCGCAGTGCACCCCGTCTCCGAGGGGACCCTCATGTACCGGCTGCACAAGCGCTTCAGCGCACTGGAGCTGGAGCGCGTGTACAGTGAGATAGAGCAACTGCAGGTGAGCCTGGGCCGCAGCTGGAGGCTGACTCCGGAGAGAACGGGCTCCTGGGCCCAGGTGGAGCACCCCGTCAGCTCCCGGGAAGGCTGGGATGCGGTTAGAAGGGTCTGCAGGTGAACTCTGGAGCTCGGGACGCCGTACGGTGCCTAGAATAGTTCTAGCTCCTCTCCAACAGTGCCGCTGCAGGGAAGACGCAACAACCCAAAAGTCCCCAGACTTCTAGCGCTGTCCCTAAGACACCCAAGGGTAGCAGAATATCCTGGTCGACTGTGGGGTTGTCGGAGGGGAAGAACAGGTGAACACGAAGGTCCGGTTGTCCGGAGGATGGGGGCTCCCTGGGTATGGGAGGGGGTCGCTGTGGAGCTCCTTCCATTGGAGAATGCCCTACCATCCTTCTGCCCCCGCCCCACCGCCTCCTCACTGCACCTGTGCACCGGGTGCGACTCATGTTTCTCCTGTGCTTACCGACCAGGAACGTGAGGTGCAGGGAAGGGAGTGACCAGCCCAGGAGCACCCCACTAAGTGCCAGGACAGAGCTGGGAGCCCAGGACAGGTCGGGTCCTCACTGCCTACCCGGGAACTGACTGTGTGTCCCTCTCAACCAGGCTCAGATCCGGAACCTGACCGCGCTGACCCCCGAGGGGGAGGCCGGGCTGAGCTGGCCCGTGGGGCTGCCGGCCCCGTTCACGCCGCGCTCTCGGTTTGAGGTGCTGGGCTGGGACTACTTTACAGAGCAGCACATCTTCTCGTGCGCGGACGGGGCGCCCAAGTGCCCGCTGCAAGGGGCCAGCCGCGCGGACGTGGGCGACGCGGTGGAGACGGCTCTGGAGCAGCTGAATCGGCGCTACCAGCCTCGCCTGCGCTTCCAGAAGCAGCGGCTGCTCAACGGCTACCGGCGCTTCGACCCCGCGCGGGGCATGGAGTACACGCTGGACCTGCTGCTGGAGGCCGTGACGCAGCGCGGGCACCGGCGCGCGCTGGCCCGCAGGGTCAGCCTGCTGCGGCCGCTGAGCCGCGTGGAGATCCTGCCGATGCCCTACGTCACCGAGGCCACCCGCGTGCAGCTGGTGCTGCCCCTTCTGGTGGCCGAGGCCGCCGCAGCCCCCGCTTTCCTCGAGGCCTTCGCAGCCGGCGTCCTGGAGCCGCGGGAGCACGCGCTGCTCACCCTGTTGCTGGTCTACGGGCCGCGGGAGGGCGGCCGAGGGGCCCTGGACCCGTTTCTCGGGGTGAAGTCCGCGGCGGCCGAGCTGGAGCGGCGGTACCCGGGGACGAGGCTGGCCTGGCTCGCGGTGCGGGCCGACGCCCCTTCCCAGGTGCGGCTCATGGACGTGGTGTCTAAGAAGCACCCGGTAGACACGCTTTTCTTCCTCACCACGGTGTGGACCCGGCCCGCGGCCGAGGTGCTCAACCGCTGCCGCATGAACGCCATCTCCGGCTGGCAGGCCTTCTTTCCCGTGCACTTCCAGGAGTTCCACCCCGCCCTGGCACCGCAGAGGTCCGCCCCGGGACCCGCGGGGGCTGGCCCCGACCCCCCATCCCCTCCGGGCGCCGACCCCGCCCGGGGGGCTCCCGGCGGAGGCCGGTTCGACCGCCAGGCGTCCGCGGAGGGCTGCTTCTACAACGCCGACTACCTGGCGGCCCGCGCGCGGCTGGCTGCGGAACTGGCGGGCCAGGAAGAGGAGGAAGCCCTGGAGGGGCTGGAGGTGATGGATGTGTTCCTCCGGTTCTCAGGGCTCCACCTCTTCCGGGCCGTGGAGCCAGGGCTGGTGCAGAAGTTCTCCCTGCGCGACTGCAGCCCCCGGCTCAGCGAGGAACTCTACCACCGCTGCCGCCTGAGCAACCTGGAGGGGCTGGCGGGCCGCGCGCAGCTCGCGGTGGCGCTGTTCGAGCAGGAGCAGGGCAACAGCACCTAGCGCCCCGGCGCGGGGGCGGGGGGCCCCTTCCGCCTCAGCCCGCGGAGGGCGCGGCGAGACGGACGGACAGATGGAGAGCTCGTGGCTGTATTTTTTTTTTTTAATAAGAAAACGTGATTAAAAGTGTCTTCTGCCGAAGTGTTTTCAGGTCGAGGGAAACGGAGTCGGGGGGAGGATCCGAGGGAGGGGCCGGGGAGGTTGTGGACCCACCGCCTCCCCTCTCCTCCTCTCTCCCAGTTGCCAATGACCACACAGCGGCTGTCAGATGCACGACCTTTAATCCAGTTCCCCGCCTCACCGGAAGGCAGGCGGGCAGCAGAGGGGTGACGGCGGAGCCCCGGGGGGGCCGGGCGGCCCCGGCCCGCGGCGCCCCCTCGCGGCGCTCCTAGGTGTTGCGCACCACCAGCGACTGCTCCAGCTCCTGCCTGCGCTGCTGGATCTTTAGAGAAACCAGAGCAGGAGCAGGGTTACGGTGCTGCTGGCGAGGGACGCGACGACCCCGACCAGCCGCCCGCCGGCCCGCCCGCCCCGGAAGAGCATCAGGGAGCAGGGAGGGCTCCCACGAGGTGAGGGGCACGGTGGAGTGGCGCGGGCGCCCGACAAGACCGAGAAGGGAGGTTTCTCCAGGCGAGGAGGGGGGCCTGGGGCCTCCGGGCCCCTCTGCACCTTGCAGTAGAAGTAGCGGCTGACGGCTTCCTGGGACCAGGGCTGGTGGTAGAACTCGGCCCGGCGCTCCTCCTCGGGGTTGCCCGCCACATCTGTCATCACCTGGGAGGGAGCAGAGGGGTCAGCTCCCCCTCGTGGCCCTGTGTACAACCTTTGCTGTCCTCCCCATATGCTTGTCTCCCATCCAGCGCCCCCCCCCCCCGTCCCCTTCACCTTGAGGTCCCGGCTCTGCGAGCAGAGCAGGTCTTGGATGTAGCCTTTGGGGTCTCTGGAGAAGCTTAGCATGAAGTCCCTCTGGATCTTGAGCTGGTTTATGGACTCAATCGTCTCGTGGATCTACAGGTAGAAAGACAGGCGCTTTCACCTGGCCGGGGTGACGCGGGAGAAGACGGGAGGGAGGTGGGAGGCCGGCGGGGGAAGGGCTGCTGCCGTCCCTCTGAAGGACAGTCCCAGGGAAGGGGGTTCACACGTCCCCGGCCCCCCACAGGCCCGTGCCCGTGCCCGTTCTGTGTGTGCTCCGTCCCTTCCGGGCTAACCTCCCACGGCAGCTCTGGGCCCCGGCCCCACCTTGCTGTCCAGAGCGCTGATCTCCTGCTGGTTGGCCGTGGACAGGAGGAAGCTGCTCATCTGCCCCTTCAGCGGCTCCTCGACCTCCACGTCAATGTCGTAGCATGCAGTCTTCTTCTGGTCCGACGGGTCCACGCTGCCGGGAAGCCCAGCCCTTGGCCTTCACCCGCCCCCACAGAGGCCGCGGGCCCTGGGGGCAGAGGCGGTGGGGAGGGCGGGGGCGCAGGGAAGGGAGGGACAGCAAGGGCAGGACCAACGATTCCCTGATCTGAGGAGCAAGCCCAAGCGGGGGGGGGCTCACCTGATGACATGGTTGATGACGATGGGGTCAGGGGGCAGCAGCAGAGCGGTGAGGCGCTGGGGGATCTCGGAAAACTTCAGCCGGGGACAATCAAAAATCTGGGGTGGGGGAGAGAGAGGCCGCTCTTTGGTGCTTGCAAAGAGCATAGCTACGGTTCTAGACCCTTCCACTGTGGAGGGGACGCGAGGAGCCGGGAACAAGTCTCCTTGCTCAGTGTTGACGGGCTGGGCCCAGGGGGCCTGCGGGCGGTGCGGGGCGGTGCAGCACGCGGGCATGGGCCCGGGTCAGCCTGCCGGGGTGCGGATCCAGCGCCCACCACGCACCGTGCGGCCTGAGCAAGTTCCTTGACGGCCCAAACCCCAGCGTCTCCCTCCCTCGAGTGGGGGTGAGGACACTGCCCACCGCCAGGACCCAGGTGAGAATTCAGTGCATCGGAACACCAGGTGCGGGGAACACGGCACCTGCTCCGGGCTCAATAAACACCACCTGCTCTTTCCACGCCTCAGGTGTGTCTGCTGTATTTATTTCTAACGTATGGATAATCTCTACTTCAGTAGAATGAATTTTCGCCAAGTCCCTTTCATAGTAACTGCATTTTCCTCACTGCCCCGCGGCTTAGATGGGACGGACAAGGAACAAGGTTCTCAGTGGCTCAGTCACTCGCCCAGGGTCGTCAGGACCAGGCCTAGAACCCAGGGGCCCAGCTGCAAGTGCCAAGAATATTACATTCCCACAAGCCGTGCAGAGCTCCCGGTCTTCCCGGCCAGGGGCGGCAGAAATGCAGCACAGACCCGCGCCGTGCCCCAGCCTGGAGGAGCGGGGCCCCGACCTCTGGCTGTGAGACCGTGACTGCCGTTTCTAAAGCCTGGGGTATCTGGGAGGCAGGGGCGGAACTCCCTCAGGGGAGGCACTTCCCCTACCGTTGACGTGGCCTGCTCCCCGCGTCCCATCCCGGCGTCCAGGGTACCTGCTGGAAATACTTGTCCCCGTTGATGTACTCCTTGTCGTGGGAGTCCTGCAGCCTGTTGGTCTTCACGTACTGCCACAGGGCCTGGACGATGGCCGAGCGGCTCTGCGTGTGCAGCCCCAGCAGCCGGGCCAGGCGGGGGTCCAGTTTGAACTGGGGGGGCTGGGAAAGGCGCCCGCGGCAATGAGGGAGTGGGAAGAGAGCCCAGGCGGCCTGGGACCGGGGTGGGGGTGGGAGAGACGCAGGGATCGGGGCTCCTTGGGAACGTGCTTCCGGAGAAGGGGGGCAGAGAGGAGGGCGGGGCCTCTCGGGATGTGTCCCAGAGAAAGGGCGTGGGGGTGCCCCCCCCCAGAGGGCCTCGTGCCGGCTGGGGTGGGGGCTGGTGCAGACCTGGTAGTCCAGCATGAGCAGCAGCGTGCAGCGCACACTCAGGTCCCCTGGCCGCTTCACCTGGAACCCGTCCGTCTCCTGGGTGGTGGGCGTCCGGTGCCACTGTCCGCGGGGAGAGAGCCGGGTCACGTCTCAGGCCCATCTGGGCTGCTGGGCCCTGGGGCTCTGGGGCGGTCCCTGAGGCAGATCTGTGCGGCGGATGGGACGGCGGGACTGGGGCCAGCGGAAGGAAGGCAGTCCCCGGGGCAAGCGGGGCCTGGGCCTCACCTCGACCAGGTGGTTGTCGGGGCCATAGAGGTCTTTGTCCAGCTCGATGACCAAACTCTTGAAGAAGGAAGAGAACTTTCGCTTCTGCTTGCTGGGCTGTGGGAGAGCAACAGGGACCGTGGGGGCAGAACGGGGACTGTGGGGGCGGAATGAACTGGGAGGGGGCGGGGCTGGTTGGGTAGGGCGGCAAGGTTAGAAGCAGGCCTCTGCACCCTGGCTGTCTCTCAAGGCCAGCCCCCCCCACCCCAGCTAGGGCTGACGCCCTAACCCTCAGTGCAGACACCTCCTCGGCCCTCAGCCCAGCCCCGTACCCACCCCAGGACACCCGGAGAGACCTGGGCCGGGACGTACGTCATCCAGGAGCTTCCCTTCCACCCGCAGCTCCCAGGAGGCGATGCTGCCATCGGAATCCTCCGCGTCGGGCTTCGCGGGGTTAAAAGTGTTGGAGATATAAAGACGCAGCTTCCGCTTTTGCTGAGGAAATAAAAGAGGGTCCCCCAGAGTGAACCCTGGGTGCCCACCCCCGGGGCCACCCCCCGCTTTGCCCTTCTGGGACCAGGACGCAGAGCCCTCTTCCCGCCCCCAGACGGAGGCACCTTCATCGGCCTCTTCAGAGCCTCCTGGATGTCCACCCGCTTCCGCATGATGGTTTGGTCCAGTTTCCTCTCGAACGCCAGGAGGTCCATGTAAGCCTGGGACTCGGGGACCAGCTCCCGGATCTGGAAGAGAAAGAGCAAGGGGGGGGGGGCCGGGCGCTCAGCCCATCTTCTAGGTGGAATGTGGGCATGTCCTGGGATGCCAGGGCATAGGGACACGGAGGGGAGCTGGCCGGCTCTGGGACTTCGAGAGTGGCCACGAGACCTCTCCTCAGATGCCGTCTCCAGCAGCAGTGGCTTCATGCTTTAGGGAGAAAAACTGCTTCTCCCTCGTCTAGAGAGACCCGTGCATTTATTTCATCGCTAGGGGAGCTGGAGCCACCGTGGGGCCCAGCAAACTCTGCAGCTTCGCTTCCTCCTCTTGTCCTTTCTTCCGCCACCCAGCCTCTGGGCTTCCTTCGGGTGTCTACACCATGGCTAGGGCCTGGGGGTCCCTCGGAAACTTAGGGGATGTGGCGGCTTGCCTCTGCCCTGGCACCTCACCCGGCCGCTCCAACTGATGTCTCAGCTGTGCTCCGACCCCCCGCCCAGCTCCGTCTGCCTCGGGACCACCGGAGTACAGCCCACGGCACCCCAGGCCCAGGATGCTACCTCCCCTTGACGATTCTGCTCCTTCCCTCTGCCCCACCCCCTCCTTCTGGCCTGGGGAACCTCACTTCTTAATTAGCTTTTTAAATAAAAAGTAAAAGTGACTGTGACCGCTGCAGCCCTGCTCCTTAGGGGGGCGGGGAGACAAATGAGGTGGGAGGGGTGGAGGGAGAGGGGGTGGGACAGGAAGGGGTGGGGGCGAGCTGGGGGCTGCTGTGAAAGGCACTCACCCTTTGAGGGAGGATTTTGTCAGCCATCTTCCTCCTCTTGGCACTGTACATTTTTTAAAGAAAAAACCAGGTTACCATGGCGACAGATCTGGGAGTAACGAGGCCACCTGCTAAATTATCCCGACATCTCTGCCCGCCCGGCTGGGGTTCCCACAGCCCGATCCTCCGCCCGCCCAAGGGGCTGCGACCATGGATGGTCGTGTGTGGCACTGGCGCCCTGTCCTCTCTTGGGGAGCAGAGGACACTGTCCTCTCTCTGGCCTGGGAGCCCGCTCCTGCCCCGCCACCTCCTCAGAGCCAGACAAACGGAGACTTAGGAGGGTCTGCAGCAGGGGAGCTGCAAAGTGTTTGGGAGAAGCCGGGGAAGGAGGGAGGGCAGAGGACAGGGAGGGTGGCTCCGGAGGACTCGCCTGGGCTGCTGAGCTGGGGTGCACGGTCCAAGGGAGGGCAGCCGACCCCCGGACCCCAACCCCTGGAGCAGGAGGTGACGGCATGGAGCTGGTGAGGACTGCACCCCTGCCACCCTAGGCTTGGGAGGAGCCTCAGACAGGCAAAGGGTGCTCCTGCCTTGGACTCGGGGACACACCCATGGGGATCCAGAGGGAGCGTGGGGTGTGGGGGGGGCATGTTTCTGTAGGACGTGACTTCGGGCTGGAATCGGATTCTTCTTGACCCCACTAGCTGCATCTGACTCCCAAACCACCCCAGGAAATTCTTGGCGAGTTCTTAGCTGAGAACCCAGCCTAAAGGATGGCTCTACACTGCCCCCGTGTGGTGCTCTCAACCGCTGCCCCTCCCTGCCCCAAAATCTTAAGGCTAGGCAAGAGCATTCCATTAAAAGTCTGATTGTGCTTTGAACGAATTATCGATGTGAAACTCTCCGTTCATACAAAATAAATCAGAGGCTCGTGCGCTGCAAAAGGCATTCATCATAGGATTCCTGAGAACAGAGAATTCTCCCTGATGTGTAAAAAATATCAAATAGCGAGGTAAAATCCATAGGATTCATCTTACAGGACCCCATCTGGCAAGCACAGGAAGCATGTGTGAGGGCTAAACAGTGAAACCCACAGGGGCGTCTCGTCAGGCACAGCAGGCGCTTGGGGGGGGGGGCACCAGCTGGCTCTAACAAGGACATGGACTGGCCCCTGGTGCCCTGGGGGCACGCCTGGTCCAGAGGACAGAATATGACAGCCCTTCAACCTCCGGGTACCTAAGAATCACCTGGGAGCACCCCTGGGCAGAACCCCCCACCCCCACCCACAGGGCAAATTCCCAAGCCCCACCGCCCCACCCCCCACCCCTCCCCGGCCAGGCACCCAGGTTGCCAAGACCCGCGTGCAGCTTTTTAACAGCCCCGCCAGGGGATGCTGGGGAAGGTGCGCCGGACAGCCCCACTTTGAGAAACACGGTCCCACAGCTCTCTGCTCTCCGTCCTCCTGCCAGCCCCCACCTCCCCCTCCCCAACCCCAAAAGACTGAAGCATCGCCCAGAACCCGGGAACGAGGGGTGGAGAGAGGGACGGAGCAGGTGACACGGGGAAGGGCGCGACGGCCGCAGCCTGCCTACGGTGGGCACACAAAGGAACCAGAGCGGTGCCCCCTCAGTCCACCCCTCCAGAGGGCATCCCTCTCAGGACGCCGGGCTCCCCGCTGGTCATTCCTCCCCGCCCCTGCCAATCCCGCTGCTCGCCCACCCCGTCCCTGCGGCCCGCCCCCTCCGCGCTGGGCCCCACTCACCTGCGGCTCCGCGCGGGGGCGGTGGGTACCGGCTGGCCCTGGCTCTGGGCCTGGCTCTGGCCGGGCGGGGGCGCTGCTCTCTTGCGGGCGGGCTCCATGCCCGCGGGGGCCAGGCCGGGTCGCACGGCGGGGCTGCCCATGTACGGGGAGCCCGGGGGGCCCATGGGCGCCCCCTGGTGGGGCATCCGGGCTCCAGACGGCATCCCGGGGCGCTGGGGTGGGGGTGGGGGGCGGGAGCGAAGCAGAAACGGGCGCCCGTGGGTCAGACCCGGTCCCGGCTCCAGGCGCGGTGAGCCGCGTCTCCCCCACCCCAAACCCCCGGCCGGTGACCCTGCTGCAGCCGGCGTGAGCGAGGGTGGGAGGGGCAGGGGCGCCGGAACCGCGCCGCCTCGGCGGAGGGGGCTTTGCGTCTCGCTGCAGGAAGCTAACTGAAGCCAGGCAACTGCACGGGGCATTGCCAGCCTCGGATTTGCGGAAGGTACCGCGAAAATGAATATTAATGGCGCCTTTCAACCTTTTCAAAGGATGTGCACATCCTCACGCTCCCCTGTAAGGCAGACGGAGCGGATCCTTCCGTCCCCACTTGACAGATGAGGCAACCGTGGCTCGAGGAGAGAGCGACCTAGCCAAGGTCACGCAGCTCCTCCTGGCAAAGGCAGCATTAAGCGGCCAGGGCTCCCAGGTGCCTGCTGCTCCGCCCAGGATGGGGTCTTAGCTCCCCGCGGGCCTCCTTCAGGCCCCTCTCTGCACTCATGCCCTGCTTCCTGGGCGGTCCCGCCTTGCCTGCGCCCCCCCTGCCCCCACCTCCACCCACTCTTGTCTCTGGGGCCCTGCTTTTGACCCCTCAGCCCCCACCCCTTACCCCCGTGGGCTGATTCCAAGCTTCCACCCCCAGGGGCCTCTATAATTTGATCCCAAGGTGAAGGCTGGGGGTGGGGCTGGGGGCCACCCAAGGGGCTGAGGGGGTGAGCATTCTCTCTGCCCGGGAGGGCAGCAGGGGGGCCCGCGGAGGTGGACGGGCCCGGAGCGCTGGGGGAGGCCAGAAGCAGCCACATTTCCTCTCACATCCTTCTCTGCCTTCCTGTCGGCCTGAATCACCAGAGGGGGTCCCATCACATCCTCCACTTCCCACCCCACCCCGGTGAGGTCATAGCTCCGGGCTCAGGGCTCGGAGGGGGCCGTGGAGAGGACAGGAGGCAGGTGTGTTCCCTTGACACTGTCCAGGCGCTGGGATGGGATGCAGACGAGATGCAAACACACCGAGGGAAGTGTGTCACAGGCTTCGCAAACCCCGCTTGTCCGGATTCCGGGACAGAGCGCGGAGGGTGGGTGGGATGGGGACTGGGGCGAGCAGAGAGCAGAAGGAAGATCGGGGAGCAGGGGGTGCCAACCCCGTGCTCTGTTATCATTGAAACTCTACCACTTTGCCCCCGGGAGTGCAGCTGCCCCCCAGACACAAGGAGGAGCCCTGACCCCCGCCCCCAGCTCGTGAACCCCTCCTCACTGCCAACTCCCCCTCCAGCCCGGCACTGTCTAACCCTAACCCCCGGCCGGCCAGCTGTCTCTGTCCATCTCTCCCCCAGTGAAAGCGGCTTGTCCATGGGCCTGCCTCCCCGACCCACCTGACCCTGTCACTCACACCTCCAGGGCCGTGGCCCAGAATGGAGCCCGGCCCGGCCATTCTCCACCAGCGCAGCCAGCCGGGGCACCAGGAGTGGCGCATGGGGGCTCACGGCCGCTCCAGAACTGAGGCTCTGAGTCGGCCAAGTGAAAAAGTCCACACGTGTAGCCTTTCTCCCTCCTGGATGGGCTTTCGAAAAGGGAGTGTCCCGGGCAGCGAGGTGAGGGCTGGTCACGCAGCTAGCCAGCACAAGCACCCCTGGGAGGTTATCCCAGGGGCTCTGGCCGGAGGACAGGCCACCCCAGGAATCCCACTTTCCCTATCAGCTCTCCTCCCGTTTGTCAAGGTCAGTGACACTCGCTCCTCCGCTGAAGAGGCCCCAGAGAGCCGTGGCGGCCACCAGGGCCATCCCTGTGAAGGGCCGAGATTCTAGGGACGCCGGCCGCCCTCGCTGGGGCATGCCTTCCCTGGGCTCCGAACCAAATTTGGCCGCGGTCAACCTGACTGCCTCTCCCATACCGGCTCCCACCCCAAGTTCTGGAGCTCCTGCCTCCCCGCTGCTGCTGCTGCCCTCCACACCCCTCTCCACCTGGGCCCCGTGGCCTCGGCGGGAGGCTTCCACGCCCTCGGGTGGCCCTGGGCTCCCTCGGGTCCCCCGTGTGCCTCTCAAGCCTGCCCCTGGCAGGACAGCGCTGCCCTGTCCCTTTGGTGTCTAGGCCTCCCGTCCCTGACTCCAGCCCTTCCTTCACACCTTTGAGGCATCAAGGACATCAGCTTTGGGTGGCTGAGTCGGCCAATGGGATCCTGGGACCCCTTCCTCTGGGGTCTGCCCATGCAGAGAGGGCCTGGCTCAGAGCCGGGTGGCAGAGACCATCGGCAGAACCCCACAGCCCTCCTGATAGGATGCAGAGATTGTTCAGCGGGAGAGCTTCCTGCCCGCGGTGCCTCCAGGGGTCACCTGCTCCTTGCTCCCGAGATACAGTCAGAGAGACACTCCACCACCCTCCCAAGCCACCACGAGCAGCCAGCCCAGCCCACGCCATGTCCCCCACCCCCACCCCCAGGGCTGGGGTAACCCCTGGGCCCGCAAGGGAAAGAATCGCAGAAAACACGCCTGGTACAGGGGGGACCCCCCCACTTGGGGGGGACAGTCCCCAAGTCCCACCCCCAGCCCCTGACAAGAGCCCATCGCCGGGCACCCATCCCCGGCCGGCCGGCCGCCCGCCCGAGGACGTGCTGGGGCGCCAGCGCGCCGGCACAGTCCCGGGGCCGGGCCGCGAGCCCGTGGCGCCCCCCGCGAGCTGGTGGGAGCGCAGGGCCCCCCTCCCGGCCTCTCCCGATCATCCCTCCATTCAGCCCGCGCCAGCTCGCTCCCCTCCCCCGCTAACTTTCCCCCACTCACCACCCCATGGACCAGAAACTCAAAAAGTTTGCTTTTCGTGGCTTTGCGCGCCCCTCCGGCAACTTCGTCCGCGGCCATCGGGGTGGGCGCAGCGGCTCCTCTCACTCTCTTTCTCTCTTCCTCTTTCTTTCCCTTTTCTGCCTTTTTTTTCCTCCAACTCTCCCCTCTGAGTCCTGCTGGGCTCTCTCACACTTCTACTCGAGCGGAGTGGGGAGGGGGCCCCTTCAGGGCTGCCCTGACGGCCCACGGCCCACGCCGCCGCCGCCCGCCCGCCGCCGCCGCCGCCGCCGCCCGCCGCCGCGGCTGCCGCATTCCTGCACTGATAAGACAGAAATAGTCCGGCGGCCCGGGGTCTGCCTGTTGACTCGGCGGGGACAGCAAAGCCTGCCTTTCCAACCCTCGTTGTCCAAACAGCGCAGATAAGCGGCGGGGCGCGCCGGCGAGCCCGGCTCCGGGGCGCTGGGCAGCGAGCGGCACTGCAGCCGAGGCCGCCCGAGGCCCGCGGGAGGCGGCGCGGGGAGGGGACGCGAGGGAGGTGGCAGGGGGCTCGCCGGCCACCAGGCTCTCGCCACAAATAGTTTCTCGGTTAGGGAATCCGGCGGCAGGGCCGGGCAGGGAACAGTCAGTTCCAACTTTCCCCCAAGTGGCTCCTGCTGCATTTCTGAGGCCCTTTCCCCAGAGACCTGGCAGCCCGAGCAGGGAAACATTCTCCGGGAGGGATGGGGGGAGCCGGAGCCCGGGCCGGGCCTTCCTCCCGCGCCCGCCGGCGGCGGCCGCGGCGGTGGGTGTGCCGGGGAGGCGGTGTCCCCTGCGTCCACAGATGTGTGCGCCCTTGTCTGCCCGCGAGTGTGCCTGCACCCTCGTGTGGGCACGGCGGTGGGTGTGGATGTGCGTGCACAGACAAATGCCTTCTCTGTGTGCCTCCCTCCAGGGGAGCCGCGGGTGCGAGAGGGCGCGCGCGGGGGGTGCGTGCGTGCGTGCCTGCGTGCGTGGCGGGACCTGGCCTGTGTCTCCCAGCTTCGTGTGAGTCTATTTCTGGGTCTGTGAGTCTTTGTTTGTCTCTATGTGTGAAAGTCAGGGCACTAGGGGGTGTATTTTGGAAAGAGGGCGGTGGATGAGGCTCATGAGAACAGGAAGAGAGGAATGTGGGGGAAGGCAAGGCGCTGGCGGGGGTGTTGTGGACGGATGGGGAGAGGGAGCCGGGAGAGCAGGCCTGCTGGCTTTGGAACCGGGGGTAGGGTAGGGGGCTGAGCGGGCCCGGGGCTGCTGGGGGTGCTAGGGCCAACCTGAAGACCCCAGAGAGAGCAGAGGTAGGGGAAGGGTTATGAAGGAGCTCCAGAAGGCTGGTGCGGTGGGAGCTGGCAGTCCCTTGGGTGAAGGAGGGACAGGAAATGGGCGGGGCAAGTCCTGAGATCCACAGGCTGGGAGCCTTGGCACCGCCCCCCTGTCCCCGGAGACCACACCCCTTTCTCCTCCTTCTGGAGGAAGAGCCCCCGTGGGTTTGGGCACCACAGTGGGTCATGTCTATGGGCCTTGGCGGGGCTGCACTGTCGGAATCCAGGTGGGGCAGGGCGATGTGGTGGAAAACTTATTTGCAGTTAGGCCCTCCAGGTCCAGCATGGCACCAGGGTGGGGGGAAGGGCCGGCCCTCCACCCTGTAGAGCGCCTTCTGAGGTCAGGACAGAGAACCGTGGCAGTATTCCATTCGGGGAGTCCGGACTGACTGCACCCCGGTTTTCCCTGGACCTTCGTGGCTCCTGGGCCACTTGGCCACCTGCTGTCAGTCCCCTGAAAGGCCAGAGAGGACACGTGACGCCCTTCCTACCAAATGTCTACCCAGGTTTCACTGCAGACCCTTGTCCACGGAGCCTGGACCCTGGGGATGGGTGGGGGGAGAGGGGACAGGCCGTGAGGCTGGCCACAGGCAACCTGGGGAGGTTCACTAACTTCCAAAACCCCTCACCATTGCCATTTCTAAGCCTCCGCTCTCCATATTCTGGAATGCTCTCTACCTCCCTTCTGCCTGTTCAGACCAGACGCGTCCTTCAAAGCCCGGCTCAGGCCCCACCGCCCCCAAGAAGCCTTCTCTGGTCCCACTCGCGTACACAGCTCTTCCTCTTCTCCGAATGTCACTGCCGTCTTCCCCGTGCCACGGACCGGCACTGGGCTGACTCGGTCTGATGTGCCCTGCGCTTCGTGTGGGTTGGGTTGGGTTTCCCAAGTAGGTGGTGGCCCCCTGAAGTCAGGGGCTGGGTTTGAGCCCCACCGTTTGTCCCCCCCCCCATGCCTGGGCACAAGCACCCACATGGCCACATGCCTGCTAACGCCTGTGGCCACCCACAGCTCGGCGGCCAGAGGAGGGTACTCATCCCCGGCCACCTACCTGATGGTGTGAGTCACCATGGGCACCCCCACTTTCTGAGGGTGCTTCTAGCACGGACAGGTGAAACCGCAGGCCTTGGGGAAGCTTCTGGGGGACCGGGCACAGGTAAACCTCTGTAGGCTTTGTGTAAAGCACAGTTCTCCATTCCTGGAGACGCCTTTTGGAAAGAGGAGGTGGGTGGGCACCCCCAGCTCCTGGGGAGTCTGAGGGTGAGGCTGCCCAGCATTCCTGAGGGGCTTGGTCTGTGTGGTAGAGGTGCAGGAGGGGGTTAGACCAAGGGTGATGGTGGAACCCGGGAGCTGGTATCACTCAGGTTCATAGATAACTTCTTCCCGGGCCAAGCCCGGACCAGGGCTGCCCCTGCAGCCAGCTCCTGGGAGATACACCCCCCGCGGCACAGAATGCACACATGCGGGCCTCACGCACCAGGCACACGCAGTAAGGCAAACACCAGGGGACGGGGGCGCAGGGATCTGCGCTTGCGGGCACACCTTAACCAGCGCCACATCGCGCTCACGAGGCCGCAGGCACAAAGCCCCCACCGCCCGCAGACACGTCTGCGCGCCCTCTCTTTAAAGGGCTACCCCAGAGGGGCGGACCCGAGGGAGCCTTCGGGCCAGAAGGCGGAGGCGCCAGGGTGCTGCCCCGGCAGAAACCGTCCACGTCACAAAGGCCAGGATCCCCGACCGCTCAGCCCCCCCAAGGGCGCTCGGCAGTGCCCCGCCACTTTCCCCTGCCGGGTGGGGAGGCGGCCACGCAAAGCACCCGGTTCCAGCTGGCAGAGGGCTTCTTCCCAGTCCCCGGTGCCCAGGCCGACCAGCCCAGGCCGCGCTCCGACTGGGACGTGCGCTTGTCCGGGCGGCCCGGAGCCGGAGTCCCCCCTGCCGTCCCCCCATCTCTCCTTCCCTCGTCGCCGAAGCACCACCGGCACCAAATGGCAAAGCGCCGCTCCCCGCGCAGGCAGGGAGAGATGCGCCGCGGCCGGCGGGACAGCTCGCCGCCCCCCGCCCCCCAGCCGCGCCAAGCGCTGGGGGCGCGTCCCGGTCTGCCGCTGTGCCCCTCGCCCTCTCGGGCCCGGGCCCGGGCCGTAGCGGGAGCCCTGCCGGAGCCGGGCCGGGCATGCGCACTGCGGCCTCCCTGCCGGTGAAGGTCAGCCCAGGGCCTAGCTGCAGGACTGGGGCGGCGGGGGGAGCCGAGGAGGGCGGAGGGATGCAGCGAGGAGACTTAACTCCTTCCCTGCGGGAGGATGGGCACCTGGGCTAGGGCCCACGCCCCGATCCCAACCTCCCGTCTTCTGTGGAGGTCCCATGACGGGGACCCCGCTCCGGGGGAGGAGGAGGGGGGGAGGACGGCGGAGAATGTGAGGAGGAGGGGGGAGGGAAGCCGGGGAGGAGGGAGGGAGGCCGGGGAGGAACAAAGGAAAGCGGGCTGCAGGGAGGGGACCTCTGTCTGCTGCCTCCTTTTCCCCCTGCCCCAGCAATAAAGCTTCCCGAGCAGAATGGGACTGCCCTCGCAGATCGCAGATCGCAGCAGATCGGTGGGATTGGGTGTGTGTGTGTGTGTGTGTGTGTGTGTGTGAGAGAGAGAGAGAGAGAGAGAGAGAGAGAGAGAGAGAGAGAGAGAGAGGGAGAGGGAGAGTGGGGATGAAGTGGGACCACCAGAGCTCTCAGGCTGAAGACCCCTGATTTCTGCGTCCTGGACCATCCCCACACCCAGCCTCCACAAGGCCCACTTTCCTTCCTGTCCCTAAACCCCAGGGCTTGCCCAAAGGGGGCCCAGGGGCAGCTCTGCCCCAGCCTACCTTCAGGGCTTAGCCCTGGACAGGCCAGAGGGCCAGGCCCAGCCCCCAGAGGCGAGTGGAGGGGCTTCCTCCAGCCAGCAGCCAGGGCCTGGGCAGGCCAGACCATGGGCCTGGGGGCACCGGGCTGCACCACCTCCATCTCCAACCCCGTCCCAGGCCAGCGCACAGCGGCGCTGGGCACCTCTCTCTTTTCGGGCAAGAGCGGCTCTGTGCCCGGGACCTGGTGTCCAGGGGGGCTGTCTGTCTCTCGGGGAGACTTTGCCTCCCTGTGTCAGCTGTGCACACACCGGGGAGACGAATACGACAGAAAGAAGTGGAAACACAAACAAAGACAGAGCAGGGCCGCCAAACAGTTGTGTGACCTTGGGCAAGTCAGTGTCCTGCGGCTTCCTCAGGGATGAAAGAAGGGCCGCCCTGCCCTGAAACGCGAGGGTTCCATGAGACCGACACGTGCGAGACCAGGGCAGATGGGACGGGAAGGAGAGGGAGACGACACAGCAGGACCACGCCAAGTCAGTGGGCGGGCACTGCTCACCCACAGCGATGCCGCAGGCCCCCCCCCCCACACATGCATCCACCTCAAGGGGGGCTGTCAGCCTCGGGGCAGTGCAGGGCCTAGCCTTGGGGTCCTGCGGTCTGCACAGGGTAAGCAAGTGCACGGTAAAGGTCAGTCAAAGGAGAATGTCCTTCCTCTCTTTGCCTGCGTGGGTTTCCTCAGTCTGCGGGGGGCTCCGAGACCCCCTCCCCGCCCCTCACCCGCAGGCAGTGTGGGACATCAGGATGCTAGAGCCCCCGGTGAGGGGCGGAGAGGGGCCTGCGCAGCCCGGAGGGAAGGGGGGGCTCGTTTGAGATCCTCAACCCATGTTCTCTGCCCCGTGGCCACCATCCTTGCGGTGGCCTCTTGTAACGGTTCCTGCCCAACAGTGTGTGGCTCCGGGCGAGGAGGAGCCACGCTGGCCTGGTCCCTGTTTTGGCACGGATGGCGCTGGTCACGGCGTGGTGTTAGTGTGGGACCCTGAGCGTCCCTCTACCCGCCCCGCCGCCCCCGGCAGCCCAGGGGCTGGGAGGGAGCGTGGCTCCCTCTGCCTGCTGGGGCAGCAGGGCCGTCCCATAGAACCGTCCCGTTCACGGCCTCTCCCTCCGGACCAGCTGGAGTCAGGGCGAATGCAAGGGCACACGAAGGGGGACCCGAGGCCTCAGGGCTTGCAGGCTGTCGAGACACCAAGCAGAAGCAACCCTTCCGGCCCCTCCGCCCTGAGTCCAGGAGCCTACCTCCATCCGCAGGGCTGGGGGACCCCACCCATTCCGCACTGGACCCTCTGTCTCTGGCTGGGGCCATCCC